CGCCGCAAAAGAAGTCAGTCTCACTCGCAAAAGCAGCAGCCACCCTTCCGGCGATGCTGGGGACTGCACCGTCTTCCACAAAGCGAAGAGAGTCGTCAAGCGCTGCCTTGGGCGCCGAACTGTGGCTGTTTGGCTTTCAGACTTCACGTGAGTGGCACATCAAAAAGCAGGCTTCATCAGAAGGAAAACGTGTTTCCTAGTCTCGGCCGGGGTGAAGACGCAAACCGTTAACCCTATGTCGTGCGTTTGTATCGGCCGCCGGAACCCCCCCCCCCACCCAAAGGCAAAAAAACCACTCGGGGCGATCTCCCCAAACGAACCAAACGACCCGCCCAAAGGAAGGCGCCGACTTTGCGCAGCACCGTCTGTCGCTGAGCGCCAGGCCCGACCCAGTCGGAGCCCAGACACATCAGGCCCTGCCGTGCGCTCGAGCGACCCCCCTGGCCTAAATGCCAAACCAAAGCAACTCTGGCCTGGCACGCCCAAGGCAAGACTCCAATCCCCCCCGCAAAAAAAGAAAAAAAAGGCCCTCCGCCCTCTGCCGTCCAGTTGGGTCCTTCTGCCTGAATTCTACCCCCCCCCCCCCCCCCCCCCCCCCCCCCGACGCCTCGAGCAGCAGAAAGGCGCAGCTCCGGCGCTGGGCCGAGATCGCTGCGGAGGGGTGGGGCTGCAGCAGGGCCCCGGAAGTGCCCAGCACCGCGGAGGTCACATCGTGGGGCCTGGGACCAGCGCGCGCTGGACGAGCACTTCGACGCGGAGGTGACGCCGACCCTAGTCAAAACACTTGGTCTTTGTCTTTGCAGCCACTTTGTTTGTTTTGCAAACCCCTACCAAAAAAAAACGACTAGAAAAAAATGAAGAAGAAGAAAAACGCAAAAAGCCAAGAAGCTGGCAAAGGACAGTGAAGTCGAGCGTATGACCCACCGCCGTCTGGGGACTTCTCAGCCCCCCACACGCCAAGCTCGCTGCTGTAGAGCTCGCTGCTCATGGCTGCAAGCCTCGGCGAACTGGCAGAAACACCCCCAGGTTTCCGTGGATAAATCCATTTTGCAGCGTTCAGAAACCGTGCGGAAGGATGATTCTGCGGTTCAACCATAGTTTCAAAGTAGTGCGGACGGATTTCTGGCTTCAAGAACCTCCGATGCTCTTCAACCTCAAAGCCTCTTTGAGGCATCCAAGAGCACAGCAAGGCGAGCACTCTTTTCTCTCTCGCCGCGGGAACACCTGCTATCCGTCTTAATCCATAGGCACACCAAAAATTGTCTTCTTCTCCAGTGCTGTTTCGACCGCCGAGCAGAATGGGGGGCACCCAACACTTCAAACCCGCCTTTTCCTCTTCCAGGCCCAACAAGCCAGAGACGCCTGCCTGATTTTGCACCTCCCCCTGCTCCCCCTGCTCTGCTCCCACTCTACCAGGCATCCGCCCCTCACTTCAGGGGGCTGCTTTTCGGTTGGGTCAGCGACAGGCGCACGGTGCTCATGTTGTCCAAGTCCGGCTCGAAGAGCTCGGGGTTCCGCTTGGCCAGCGGCAGCAAGGCCTCCTTGGTGAGCAAAGCCGTCTGGCAGTCGAACTTCTCCCAGACGTGGCCCAGGGTGAAGTTGGTGTACCGGCTCAAAGGCTCCACCTCCTGCGGGGACTGAACCCGAAAGTGGTCCCACCTCCTCGCTTCAAGGAGAAAAACGGGGCAGCCAGGGGACTGAACCCAAAAAGGGTCCCCCGTCTCACAGGAGTCCTCGAAACCTCATGCTTTGAGCTGGGAAGGCTTCTGAAGAGCAAACGCAAGCGGAAGTTACCATGCCCGGGCCTGAAAACCTGAAAATGATCAGGTCCCTCTGATCAAAGCCTGGGGCCCACGGGTGCAGATCCTTTCATGGGTCTCGGTGTTCCGTCCAACGTCACTGGACCAAATTCCCAGCGCAAATACGTCTATGGGTCCAAATCCCGTATCCCACTCCACCCGCTAAAATAGGTTCTAACAGGGGTGGTGAATTAATTCACCTACCAAAATGGGATCCCATGAGTTTCGAGCACCACGGCCATACTCCAAAATTCCAAAGCCTCGAGGGTTTTCCCGCCTCCCTTTCTGCAGTCTCCGCCAACATGCGAGAAGGATTCCCTTTGGGCATCTTCAAAGAAGCCTTGGGCCGGCATCTCCGGTAAAATGCGCCCCCAACGAATCAGCAATTGGAGAAACTCCGGGAGGCTTGGGCGCAACTCTTGTTTGCACCAGCTCAAACGCCAAGTGGTTAAACAGCTTCAAAGGTTGCAAGCCCCTTTCTGCTCAAACAAAACCTCTGCCCAAATTCTGGGGAACCCCCCCCCCACATCCCTCCGGATACCTCACGCAAAACAAAAACACGAGGCAACCCAAAATCGATTTCTGGGGCTCCCTCCCTCCACCCCCCCCAGGCGTAGACGCGCCTTGGCCGAGGTCTTGAGCTTCGCAAAGGCGCGGTGCCAGCGGAAGACGTGGGCGATCTCCTGCCGGAAAAACGCGGGGGGGGGGGGGCTGCGGGGGCTGCGGGGAACTCAGCGGGAAACGGAACCAAACACCACCCGAAGGGAAACCAGGAAGCCGACCCGAAGACTTTTCGGAGGGGGGGAGAGTTTCGTTTTAGGAAGGCGGCCCTTTTCGGACGATGGAACCTTGTTCGGACGCCACCAGATCTTGCTCTCTCTCTCGCTCTCTCTCTCTCTCTCTCTCTCTCTCTCAACGAGGGATAGAAAGAGGAGAATGCCAAACTCCAAAGAAATCACGGTGCGCTGGTACCCGAAAGGTCGGCAACTTGCCGGAAAACGGATCACATGCTTGAACTGCAGCTTGCACGGTTGAAGTATTTTGAGACTGCATGGGACCAACGTCTTGTCAAACCCGCGCCTTTGCTGCGGCCGACATCTCCGAAATACACGTTCAGCGGTCACTTGAGCCAGACACGCTGCATCGCTGCGAAAGCTGCCCACTTGACTGCTGACCCAGCGCATGTGGCATTTGGACGTTGAGGCACGTGTTGCCCAACCCTGCCTTGGACGCTTCTCTGGGGTTTGTCGCCATGCTCAGAAGCGCCAAAATGGGGGGGGGGGGGTTTTGGGGAGGGTCAATTGAAATTCCGAACCACCTGGATGTGTCGTTTTTAAGGGGACCCCCCAGAATCCTGGTCTTCACTGTGTTTTCCTTCTAGAAAAACAAAACAACACACAAAAAGGGTACCAATCAAAAGACACACCCAGCCCAAAAACGGGAGGGGAAACCCCGACACAGGCCCCGCCGCCCTTCGAGTGCATCCAGCTCCGTGTGCCGAGTGCCGGGCGCGGCGCAGTAGCCGAAGAGGCCACGCACCAGCGGCTGCAGGTCCGCGTGCGCGGCCTCAGGTGGAAACCAAATGGACGCCAGCGGGGCTTTTTTTTATGAGTTCCCTGCGGTAGGCTTGCGCCCTGAAGCTTTTTCAATATTTGGGTGTGGCTCAACTTCAGGTTTTAGTCTTTGGTTCCATTTACCAAGGTGCCACTTTGGTACATGTTTGTGAGCCACAGCCATTTTGTTGTAGCACAACTTCCGGAATGGGCAGTTTTACATCCTTTATTTCCAAAAGAGCCCAGTGGAGCCCCACGAACGGATGAGCTCAGCCACGCATTGCCGCTCGTCCTTGGGCAGTGTCGTTTCCATGGAAGGTGGGAATCAATCTCTGGGGCTGGGGGGGGGGGGGGGTTGAGGCTGCCCTTTTGGGCTTGGTTTGACGGGAAACGCACGGAAAACCGGGCCCGGAGCCCCGACTTTTGACACACATGCCAAGAAGGGCGTAGGGCAGGGCAAGCATTGAAAACCGTAAGGGCAGACCACCATAAAGGAAAACGCGCGGCTCACCGTTGTGCTTGTGAGGCCAGTACCACTGTCCCCTGAACCATAGGACTTCTACTAGAAGCGCTTTCTAGATAATTGTTTGCTCCATGCTTTAATTATCATGAGGCATTCCATGAAAATCAGCTCTGATCCACTCCTCCCTTTGGAATAAATGCTCGGCGGGCAAGCGGGCAAGCAAGCAAGCAAGCAAGCAAGCAAGCAAGCAAGCAAGCAAGCAAGCAAGCAATCAAGCAAGCAAGCAAGCAAGCAAGCCATTGCAAAATACAATCTAAGAGTCATCATCCCATGTGCGCGGATCTTGGAAAGTGGAGCAGGAGCAAAACAGCTCAAAGTTTGGTGGTTTTCAAGGGAATCCAAGGAAAACCGAAGCCATCTGGGTTCAAATTTAAATCCCCGCACCACCAATCCAAACCACCCACTAATCTAGGGGTTGATTCCCCCTTCTTTTCAACCATCGCTCTTTTCAAAAACCGATCGCTGTTTCCCTGGGTGTTTGATGGCTTCCTGAAAAGATTTGGATCCCTGAAGGTACCCCTAGAATTTTGTCGGGAAAATACATGACAGGAAATGGAAGGTAGCCCTAGAACTAAGGGTGACCTGAAAATGGGCCCCCGACCCCAACAAAACACGGAGCCCCAAATCCCTCACCGTCCAGGTCTCCGGGCGGCAGCTGCAACCGCAGTGTCGCCTCAAGTCGAACCCTCCCGAACCCTTCCTCGGAACAAAAGCGGCACAAACACGCGGACACAAACAAACAAAACAAAACAAGACAGACAGACAAATAGATAAACAAGCCAAGCCAAGGAACGAACAAACAAACAAACAAACAAACAAACCAAGCAACAAAAAAAAGAACCATGCTAACTAAAAGAAGAGACACATGCACATGAAAACAAGGAAGCACCAAAAAAAAACGAAACACGGCAAAACAAAGAACGAAAGAAAGAAAATGCAAAAGAAAAAAAAAATAAAGAAAGGGAAAAAAAAAAGGTCAAAGAAGACAAAAGAAAAATAATAATAATAATAAAGAGAACAAGAAACAGAAAAAGGAAGCCCAAAACAAAGAGAACAAAATATAAATAGGAGACAAAAAACAGCAACATAAATATGATAAAAGCATGGGAAGAGGGAAAAAAGAACGAAAGATGGGAAAGAAGACAAAAAGCAAAAAGAAAGTTAAAAGAAAGAGAAAGAGAAAAAGAAAAAGGAAGAAAACAATGAACAGAGCAAGGAAGACAAAAAAGAGAAAGAGAAATCGAAAGACACAAACAAAGACAAAGAAATATTACTAAAGACTATTGAAGATCAAAGAAACATAAAGAAGAAAGAAGGAGCAGGAAGGAAGAAAAACAGAACAAAAGAATGGAAAGGAAAGGAAAGGAAAGGGAAGACAAGAAAAGAAAGAAAAGAGAAGCAAAGAAAGGAACAAAAAACCGGAAACAAAGTAAAAAGGAAAGAAAAGGAAAAAGGCAAAAAGAAAGAAAAGGAATCAAAATGAAGAAAAATAAAGAAGAACGAAGGAGGAAGGGAAGGAAGGAAGCAAGGAAAGGAAAAGAACAGAAAGGAAAGAAATAATGGAAAGAAAATAATAATAGAAACAAAAGGAAGGAAGGAAAGACATAATGAGAGGAGGAAAGCGACAAGAACACAACACAACACAAACAGACAGACAGACAGACAGACAGACAGACAGACAGACAGACAGACCGACCGACCGACCGACCGACCGACCGACCGACGGACGGACGGACGGACGGACAGACAAACAGCAAAGCAGACGGACAGACAAACAAACAGACAGACATACGGACGGACGGACAAACAGACGGACGGACGGACGGACGGACAGCCAGACAGACAGACAAACAAACAGCAAAGCAGACGGACAGACAAACAAACAGACAGACATACAGACGGACGGACAAACAGACGGACGGACGGACGGACGCAGACAGACAGACAAACCAAAGAAACAAAGACACGATCAGACGAAAAAGTCAAGTCTCATTTTTCCAGGTTGGTTGCCAATCAAGTCACTCCTGTTTGTTGTTTGAGTCTGGTATGGGCCAGCCAAGTTGTGTAGCGCTAGCCCAGAGAAACCCAAAAGGGTACACCCAGAAAGCCCCAAGAAAGGAGAACAAGTAGTGGAAGCCTGTACCATCTTCACATCGATCCGATACTCCCATCACACCTTGCAGCTTCAAGTGAGGCGTGTGTTGCTCGGCACAAAAAGCGATCGCTCTCGTACGGAAAACATCGGCTCTCAATCGCAGAACCTTCCGCCTGCGACCATCTGGCCGTTCGCATCCTTCCGCCGCAGGGGCGTGCCTCAGCGCGGGCGCCCCCTTCTTGCTTGCCGGAGACACACCTCCGGAGACCCCTGAAATCGGCCCCGCCTTTAGGAAACCGCTTGGACGCGGTTTCTGTGGCGTGCCACCCCTGTGGGATATCTAAAAGAGTACTGAAAGAGTAGTAAAAAAGAACCTAAAGGGGGAAGAACAGGTGAAATCCACAAAAGGCGCATCCAAACCGTTTTCTAGATTTAAATGTCATGAAAGGGGTTCTCCATATTGAGATAGACCCTAGGCCGCTTCTTTTTCCCGAGGGTTCTCGTGTGCCGGCGTCTCCGTTTGATCATGATTTTATGACAGCTCTCCACCCTGGATGTTCAAACCCTGCGGCCAAAAGCCCATGCTTTTGGAATGGCGAGGAAGAATTGTCATGCATGCGTTGCCCCCACGTCATTCCAACATTGGCTCCTGCCAGGAGATATCCCGAACCTTTTGCCCTGCCGATAGGACCGCTGTCTCGATGCAAATGGACAGCATCAAGGGCCAGGCGAAAACAAGCCATGCTCCAACGAGTGTGTCTCCAACCGAAGCTTTTGCCAACGAAATTTTCGGCTCCAACGAAAGCATGCTACGGCTCGGACCGAGAACCTCTGCATTCTGAACCGTGGACAGGTTCAGCAGCCTCAGCCAACTTTCCACGAAACAGGCCCAGTTTCCCAGTGACAAGTACAGCTGACTCTGCTACTGGACATTTGTTGTTGCAAATAGAATGCGTTGATCAGTTGAACTGGCGCGTGTTACCCCACCAAAGTCACCCCCACAGTGGCAGGTTAAAGAGAAACCAGTTGAAGTCTAAACAAGACTCGGCAAACAACGGTTGAGAAAAAACCCTTGGAAGGGAAATGGCCAAGAAGGCCCGTAACGCCGAAGGCGATCTGATTCCAAGGATGCGCCTTCATGCTGGAGGAATATGCCCAGTAGCTTCCACAGGTTACAACTCACGGTGAAGGAATCAACCCAACGGAAGGCGAGTCTCAACCTTTGGTCGGGGAAACACCGAGGAAACCAACCGATGGTCCAACTTTCACGTTGAAGGGACCGGTTTCTTTGAGAACCCGATCCGGGAACCACACGGAGCGGGTCGTCTGACAGAAAGCTCGGCGCCCGGCACGCTCAGGAGCTGAAAAAGCTGTGGAGGTGAGCCATGCCCCACGCTACGCAGGCCTCAGGTTGCCGTGCGAGTCGAGCGCTGAGCAGGCGCCTGCAACGTGAATGGACGAAATCCTGCACCAATTTGACACCATGGCTCCAATATTTGTTGGCATTTACCGGGGAATCATCATTCCAGGCGGTGCAGGATTTCGTCCATATCCACAGTAGGCTCCGAACCGAAAAGGCACGCCGAAACCACATGATGCGGACGTCCAGCCGAATCCGGGATGCTACCTCCACCCAGAGCTTCGCCGCCCAAGCCACGGGGCCCTGGCAATACGCCGCGTGTAGCTGGACCATGGCATTGGGATAATTTCCCAAGATGTGAAGCCTCAGACATGACCGCCGCCTTCCTTCTCTCAACGGCCGCCCTTGGAAGAAACGCGGCGTCTTCCGTTTGACGCCCCTTCAAGCTCAAAAGAAAGGCCCTCAAACAGCTCGCACCTCGCACCCGCAGAGTGGGGGCCACATCTTCAAGCTCCGGCCCCTGAGAACACAAACCATGCCTGAAACTCCCGCTCAGGTGATATCCCCAACAGCATGCGGTGCCTTTGAACTCACAGATCGCTCCAGCGCTGCGGGCGCCCGGCAAGGGCTTCGTCACCTTCGTCTCGATGCTGCGGAAGGCCTCGCCAGAGGCTACGCAGGCGCCTCGGCGAGCGAAGGCGACGGTGAGCCGGCTGGGCGCCTGAAATAAGCGACCCCACAAGGGAAGGCCCAACAAACCGGAGAAAAAAAAAAAAAAAAAAAAAAAAAAAAAAAAAAAAATTCTACAAAGCAAAGCAAGGTTTTAGAACGACTCTCATTTGGGTAAGTCAAATCAATGGCTCACAGGGCACTACCCTTCACACAAGCCCGTGGCCTGTAGCAGCACACTGGAAGAGACAGCTTCCGATGGAAAGTGAGTTGTCAATGATTGGGGTGGGCCCTTTGGCGGGCATCAGGAAGACATGACTGGAACCAAGTCCGACAAGCATGTTGGCTTGGATCTTCCAAGCAGCTCCTAATCTCGGAACATTCACATGTGTCTCAGAGAATCTCATGTGCTTGGTGCAAATGGGGGGTTTATCAAAAGGTCCGTCACATGCGATGACAGTGAAACCACCGAAGTGCAATGACTTTCACCACAAAACTGGAAAAAATGCTCATGGTCAATTTGGGGCCCAAAATGGAATATTGATCAACCCCAAATGGAAACCCAAAACTTCACCGCCCCCCACCCCCAACCCCCCCCCAAAAAAAAAAAAAAGAATCTGGCGGCCCCCAGCCGCAGAGGGTCTCCAGCACCACCAGCATCCGCATGTCCGTGCCTCTCGTTTCGGACTTGCGCGCCACGGCGCGGCCTAACCCCCCGGAAGTCGAAAAGGCGTCGAAAAGGCGGCAGCTTGAGACGGGAAGAGGAAAACAGCCCGCGGGGAAAAAGGCCGGAATGGCTGTTTCCAAACTTGAGCGGGGTTGGTTCTCTTTCAAGCCACAAGAGGAATTCACCGCAAGGTGCTCTGCAGAACACCAAATTGCAGTTTATCCCCAAGACATCATCGCCATGCGATTGGCGAGGGGGACGTGGACCTCTCGATTTTTCCACCACCCACAACAAGCGCAACTCAAGAAGTTAAGAAACACAACTCTGGGTCTTGCGCCAACTCTCATGCACCCTCCCTTGGATCTACAAACCATCCCCGTCCATCTCCAGGAAAGGCTCGAAAGCCTTGCTAGAAGCACTTCTTAGGAAAATCCTCCGAACCTTTTCTGGGAGTAAGGCTGTCCTCCAAATGTCTCTGAACTGATAGCAGAGATTGCCAACTCACATTGGAAGCCAACCAGTGGCACTCGACAACACCCTACAAGAACTCAACAAATGACAAGAAGACAATCCTAGCTCGGCTTTCTTTATACATGCTTACAGAAACAGTCTTTCCAGGTAGGTGTAGAAATATGTAGATGCATGTGTGCATATATATATATATATATATGTGAATAATCATATACGTATAACTGTACCCTACGTGGATGATCGCTTTTGCTTTTGGGAGTTCTGAGCCCAGCGCTGCGCGAGGTCTCATTGAACTGGGCCGAGACCTTGGCCGAGCTTCCACAGGCAACAGCTGGGAGCTCTGATCCCGGGTTCCCGTTGGAGGCTACTTTGTTCTTTAAAGGGAGAACCCAAGCGAAACCAACGTCCCCTCAAAAAAGACGCGCCATTCTTGTTTGAAGTCCGGGAACTGCCCCGTGATAGAAATGACAAGGGATTAAGGTTGAGCCAAATGCCTTCTAGTCCTCTCCAATGATCTAAGACTGGTATCAAAGAAGTTCAGGGGACCCACGAAATGGGGGGGTTTTCCTTTTGATATCCTTCTCCCCCCCCTAAAAAAAAAAAAAAAAAAAAAAAAAAAAAAAAAAAAAAAAAAAAAAACTGACCTTCAGGTTAAAGACTCAACAAGCGCTTCACAGCCCCCGCAAAGATTTGGGGGACTCGGTCCGCTCGCGGCGTAGGGCCCCCGGCCACAGGCAAAAGACCCTGCTCCACGAAGTCGTTGAGGCAGCCCTGGGTGATTCACCCAGGGCTGGCGTCCGGCGTTTGGTTCGTGGAACTCGAAAATTCGAAAACCAGCATCCTTCAGCAGGGATCCGGATGCATCATACACCTGAACATTGCAACTTGTAAATGGTGGCTTCCCTTTATTTCGGTGGAAAAAACCATGGTTCAAATGGGCGAAATGTATCTTTTAAGGAGCCCTGTTCAGGGAGTTTCCTTTTGGGGGTACCCCTGAGAAGAAGGGGAGAACAAAAAATGCCAGGGGGAAACCTGGGCCAACAAGCAAGCGAGGTCAAGTCTGGGCGTGTTTCTCTTGAGAGTTATGATATTTTGATGCTGGTTTCAAGGGACGGCAGTAGTAAACCAGCACTCAGCATTCCCTATTTAGAGACAAACCCATCTGAGTGAAATTGCCATGAGCACAAGAGACAAGCTGTCAAGGCTCGCCTGCTTTCTTGCATTGGCGTTGCCCCAGCCAATGCTGCAATGTTCAAAGGCCTCAAACCAACAAAAAAACACATCACGGCGGCTCAGTAACTCCACAAACAAAAAACAGAAACAAAAACAAAACAACCCCCCCCCCCCACACACACACAAAAATGAAGGGAAAAAAAGAAGAATTATAAACAAAACCAAAAAAAAAAACGCCTCCCCGCCGCGTCTTCTTCTTCTTCACGACTTCGCGACTTCGAACCGCTCCGCCTCCGCCTCGGCGAGGCGCAGGAGACGCTGCAGCGCCAGGCAGATCTGGCGCGCCACCTGCGCGAAACGAGCCAACCGGCTGGGTCCCCCGTTCCCCTGGTGGCTGTGGGTGTTTGTATTGCAGCCTGGGATCACACCCTTGGGAAATGATCCAGAACGGTTCAAAAAATTACACGGTTTTATACCCGGACATATGGCTAAATGGGGTCAATACCCAGCGGGTGGTTTTTTTCCCAGGGTGTAATACAAAAACCCCGGTTGCCGCGAAATGTGGCTGGGAAGAGAGCAATTTCAGGCTAAGACATCCATATTTATTTCCGGGCTAGGAAAGTGGCTAAGTGTTTCTTCAGGGGTCCTGATATCACGCCTTTCAAATGAGCTAGACAAGGACCTGAAAGGACACCCGTTTTTGGGTTTGCTTATCTTTCCCAGTCTTTGGTATCACTGGCTTGTGTAGGTGGTTTCAATTGGCCGACTGTTTCCGCGAGGTTCATTTGAGATGCGGCTTCTGGTCCATGGCTCGCACGTTTTTGCCTTCGCAGAGCTAAGTCCTGACAACTGCTCCATGTAAACATCTGACACAGCTATGTCGCTTTACACCACGAGCCCAGTGACAATGAGTCATGCAGGCCTCGCCTGTTCGGAACCAATCACTGCCGCGTGCCGCCACTGCTCACCCATTCACAAGCAACCGCCAGCCTTGCTTGTGTGTGTGATTGAAGAACACCAGGCCCATTCAGTGCATTTGTGGGCCCGCCACTTTGTGTGGTCTAGCCCCAACAGAACAAACACCAAAAACGCTTTGAGGGGGGGTCCCGTCAAAAAAGACACACTTGAACTCCCAAGCAAGCGTACTCATCTTCGACTCGGTGTGAATTCGGCTGGGTAAGTTTCGAGTACACTGCAGCGCGGCAATGCAGTGGTGTCCCTTTAGCACGACACCGTTGCATCCTGAACAAGAAGCACACACAGCAGAAGAAACAAAGGGCCAAAAGGACTTTCAGCAACATCACTGATGGCAGGTACGTCCACGAGGCGTCCCTCAGAGATATCACCAGCACACATCCGATGTCTTCGTTGGTGCAAGACCGGATGGGGTGCCTGCACCCCCTGCTTGAAAACCCTTGGCGTCAGGGTGGTTCTCACGCTCCACATACACACACACACACACATCTATATCTGGACATGGGCAACACGTGGCCACATTCTTGAGAAGTTCCCCCAAGGCCAATGCCAAGGAGCTAAGCACGCATAACATGAGGGGCCGAGGTACCCTCAATCCAAAGGGCAAAGCACAAAAACCCGAAATGCCTGTCGAGCCCAAAGACGAGCCCAAGGATGCGGGCCGCCCTTATGGGAGATATCCTGTTGGTTTCCAGGGTGTGTCTCCAATTGGATGGTTCCTACAACTTGAGGAGCGGGTGAACGAAAGCTAGCAGTTGTTGCATGAGATGGGTCGGTGACAGAGTGGATTCATAGGTAGCTTGTGTACAACGAGAGGCCCGGCAAGATTCGTAGGATGCGACACGCAAACGCACATGGTGGCGTGGCAAACCTTGAAAACTGAAAACAACGAGAGGCGTCAGAAGCTGTCTTAAAGCACCTCTGGGTTCTGCATGCAGCGAGTGCAAAGATTCTTGCGAGGTGGTTTACCGAGAAGACTGAGGTCTCAAATGAACAAGCTGAATCGGTGGAACATGTAAAAGTTCGTAGCACCAAGTCCAAAACGGGCAAACCGAGACTGCTGAACACTGAGCCACTGCCCGGGGGGGGGGGATGGACCAGGGAGGAATCGAGCCTGAGACCCGGGGGGGGGGGAGGGGGGGGGGGTCTAAATAATTGATATTTTTCAATCTTTTCGGCTCAAATAATTGAAAAAATCAATCTTTCGGCATTTGAGCCCCTTACCTTGCTTACGCAAGGAGAAACTTCAGCTAGCTAAAGCTAGCTTTCGTGATTGGGGACCCGTGACTGCTTGGTGCTGAGGAAACCAAAAATAATCCATATAAGTGAGCGGGAAACGCCAAAAAGACTCGTGGTTTTGGGGGATCAAACCCTTTTGGACGGTGTTTCACAAGAAAACAACCGATTTTGAAGCGTCAGAATCTCAGATCTTGCTCCAGTTTGATACCCAATCTGTGAGTCAGCTGAGATACTGCACTTCAAGGAATGTATGTTCCACATGCTGATAGGCTCACTCGGCCGGGCAAGAAAGAACGTACCACGTAGGCGGCGCTGTGTTTACTATGCTTTTCCTGAGGACTAGCTGGAACCACCAGCCCCTGCGCAGCTCCCTCGCTCAGCTCCCTCGCTCGCATGTGACAGGTCATTCCACTTCGCCAAGCCTTTTGGTGGCCAGTGCCCGCTTTTTGCCTTGCCCCACTCCGACAGGATTACATTGGGATGGCTCATCGGACGGACCCCCCCTCCCCCAATCACCGCCAGCCCACTACAAGCTGCCACCAACACACGAAAACACCCCAAAAACGACAGGGGGGCAAAGGAAAAACATAAAATCCCACCTGCATGAGGCTCTCCTCGTCCCCTGGCGCACGGGAGGCGTTCTTCGCCGAAGGCCTCAGATCTGCGAGTTTTCACCGGCGAAATTCGGCCCAACATTCGGTGTACCGTTGTTCCCGTAGATTGGTGGAATCTTGAGCGTAAAACGAACGGCTTCTCAGAGACGCGGGGTGCGAATTGGCAAGCGCCAAGGGAGCGGATCCCAATGTACAGGGTGCAGGGCAGCAGCACAACCGGACAGCTTCAAAGGCTGTTGGACAGCTGGCGGCACTCATGATGCCCCGAACGAGCATGCCACTGGATTGGCTACGGCTCATGCTTGAACCTTGTATGTGCTTGAAGCCGCTACTGTCACTGTGGCATACAAACCAAGGTGCTTCCGTAGCTTGCCAAGGATGGTTTGCCTTATGTGAAACCTTACCAGACTCAAGAGTAGCTTGCCTTATGTGAATTCTCACCAGAAAAAACTCCCCTCCGGCGCACCCTTAGCTTCGCCCCTTCGAAGCTCCTGTCCACGGCTCAGCTCCCTGCGTCTCCAGCGCATTGAGCAAGGCTCGGACGACCTGCGTTTTCGTTCGCAGGGCGAGCCTTGAGGGTCAGCCAAAAGCTGCCCCAGTCATCAAGCTCAGCCTCCGCAAGGAAACTCCCCATGCCGTGGATGGACGAAATCCATGTCGCACCACCTAAGAAACCCTAGAATGACTCGATTCCCCTGTAAATACCAATAAGCAATAGTTTCCCATGGTTTGCAAGTGGCGCGTCCATCCACAGTATCAACGTTCGGATGTTCGATTCATCCACTTTGAGTTGTATCCTTGGTGCGTCCAACTCCCCACCCCCCGGAAGAAAGCCATGCGGGGGTTGAATCGACTGACGTTCCTCAGGGACAGTTTTGCACAGGCGTCTTGGTGGAATTTATCTGGCTGTCCGAGAGCCAGCCACATCAAGAAACAAGCTCAAAGAGAAGCGAACCATGACACGTCCTGCCTCGTGTCGAAGAAAGGCTTCCAAGTTCAAACAAAAAGTGCGAAAGCCAAAGCGAAAACAAGCACCGGCAAAACCGCCGCCAGCTGCACTCTCGAGATTCGTTCGACTTTCCGAGGGCCGCGCCAAGGCCATCGTAGCTGCATCGCTCACCTAATGGAGGGTGCGGGTCTAAGAAGTGACGAAAGGGAATGTGATGTGAAGAAAGGCATGCTTCAGGGAAACCAATAGAAAACACCACGTTTCGGAGTCCCCTATTTCCGGGAAGCAGTCAGTTGGCATGTTGAAGGCAAAGATTAAAAGTTCATCATTTGTGGTCACTTGAGGCACAAACACAACACCCATCCCCCTGATAAATCCCTTACATGGAGCTCCAAAAAAACCGCCCGAAACTGGGGGCCCCCGTTTGACACACGGGTTGCTCGGAATTGGACAGCCTAAATGGCACGTGTTCCTTGCGGTTTCCCCGCAAAACCGCAAAAAAAGGGACCCTCAAACGAGTAAAACCGCAAAAAAGGGGCACCCTCAAACCAAGACAGACACTTCCTTGTAGTTTCCCGGTAAAAACTAATTTCCTTGTAGTTTCCCCGTTGAAATTCAAGTTGAAACCACGGAAAAGGAGCACCCTCAAACGAAGACAGACACTTGGTTGTCAGTTTCCCAGTAAACCGCAAAAAAAAGGCACCCTCAAACGAAGACGGACACTTCCTTGTAGTTTCCTGGTAAAACCGCAAACAAAGGGGCACCCTCAAAAGAAGACAGACACTTCCTTGTAATTTCCCTGTAAAAACAAATTTCTTTCTATTTCCCCGTTAAACGAACAGAAAAGAAGCACCCTCAAACGAAGACAGACACTTCCTTGTCAGTTGCCCAGTAAGCCGCAAAAAAAAGGCACCCTCAAACGAAGACAGACACTTCCTTGTAGTTTCCCGGTAAAACCGCAAAAAAAAGCACCCTCAAACGAAGACAGACACTTCCTTGTAGTTTCCCGATAAAACGGCAACAAAAAAAATGGGCACCCTCAAACGAAGACAGACACTTCCTTGTAGTTTCCCGGTAAAACCGCAAAAAAAAAGGGCACCCTCAAACGAAGACAGACACTTCCTTGTAGTTTCCCGGTAAAACCGCAAAAAAAGGGGCACCCTCAATCGAAGACAGACACTTCCTTGTAGTTTCCCGGTAAAACCGCAAAAAAAGAAGGGCACCCTCAAACGAAGACAGACACTTCCTTGTAGTTTCCCAGTAAACCGCAAAAAAGGGCACCCTCAAACGAAGACAGGCACTTCCTTGTAGGTTCCTGGTAAAACCGCAAAAAAAGAAGGGCACCCTCAAACGAAGACAGACACTTCCTTGTAGTTTCCCGCTAAAACCGGAGGAAAGCGGCACCCTCAAACGAAGACAGACACTTCCTTGTAGTTTCCCGGTAGAACTGGAAAAAAGGGGCACCCTGAAGCGAAGACAGACACTTCCTTGTAGTTTCCCGATAAAACAGCAAAAAACAAATGGGCACCCTCAAACGAAGGTAGACACTTCCTTGTAGTTTCCCGGTAAAACCGCAAAGAAAAAAGGGCACCCTGAAGCGAAGACAGACACTTCCTTGTAGTTTCCCGGTAAGCGAAGACAGACACTTCCTTGTAGTTTCCCGGTAAAACCGGAAAAAAGGGGTACCCTCAAACGAAGACAGACACTTTCTTGTAGTTTCCCGGTAAAACCGGAGAAAAGGGGCACCCTGAAGCGAAGACGGACACTTCCTTCCCGGTAAAACCGGAAAAAAAGAGGCACCGTCAAACGAAGACAGACACTTCCTTGTAGTTTCCCGGTAAAACCGGAGAAAAAAAAGGGGCACCAGACAATTCCTTGTAAAACGGGGAAAAAGGGGCACCCTGAAGCGAAGACAAACACTTCCTTGTAGTTTCCCAGTAAAACCGGAAAAAAAGGGGCACCCTGAAGCGAAGACAGACACTTCCTTGTAGTTTCCTGGTATCTGGTAAAACAGCAAAAAAGGGCAGACTCAACCGAAGACAGACACTTTCTTGTAGTTGTCCGGTAAAACCGGAAAAAGGGGGGCACCCTGAAGCGAAGACAGACACTTCCTTGTAGTTTCCCGGTAAAACCGGAAAAAAGCGGCACCCTCAGACGAAAACAGACACTTCCTTGTAGTTTCCCGGTAAAACCGCAAAAGAAAGGGGGCACCCTCAAACGAAGACAGACACTTCCTTGTAGTTTCCCGATACAACAGCAAAAAAAAATGGGCACCCTCAAACGAAGGTAGACACTTCCTTGTAGTTTCCCGGTAAAACCGCAAAAAAAAGGGCACCCTCAAACGAAGACAGACACTTCCTTGTAGTTTCCCGGAAAAACCGGAGAAAAAAGGGGCACCCTCAAACGAAGACAGACACTTCCTTGTAGGTTCCCGGTAAAACCGGAAAAAAGGGGCACCCTGAAGCGAAGACAGACACTTCCTTGTAGTTTCCCGAGAAACCGGAAAAAAAGGGGCACCCTGAAGCGAAGACAGACACTTCCTTGTAGTTTCCCGGTAAAACTGGAAAAAAAAGTGCACCCTCATAGTTTCCCGGTAAAACCGCAAAAAAGGGGCACCCTGAAGCGAAAACAGACACTTCCTTGTAGTTTCCCGGTAAAACCGGAGAACAGGGGCACCCTGAAGCGAAGACAGACACTTCCTTGTAGTTTCCCGGTAAAACCGCAAAAAAAGAAGGGCACCCTCAAACGAAGACAGACACTTCCTTGTAGTTTCCCGGAAAAACCGCAAAAAAGGGGCACCCTGAAGCGAAGACAGACACTTTCTTGTACTTTCCCGGTAAAACCGGGAAAAAAGAAGGGCACCCTCAAACGAAGACAGACACTTCCTTGTAGTTTCCCGGTAAAACCGGAAAAAAGGGGCACCCTGAAGCGAAGACAGACACTTCCTTGTAGTTTCCCGGTAAAACCGGAAAAAAAAGGGCACCCTCAAACGAAGACAGGCACTTCCTTATAGTTTTCCAAAAAAAAGGCCACCCAGAAGCGAAGACAGAAACCGCAAAAAAAATGGGGCACCCTCAAACGAAGACAGACACTTCCTTGTAGTTTCCCGGTAAAACCGGAGAAAAGGGGCACCCTGAAGCGAAGACAGACACTTCCTTGTAGTTTCCCGGTAAAACCGCAAAAAAAGAAGGGCACCCTCAAACGAAGACAGACACTTCCTTGTAGTTTCCCGGTAAAACCGCAAAAAAAGAAAGAAGGGCACCCTCAAACGAAGACAGACACTTCCTTGTAGTTTCCCAGTAAACCGCAAAAAAGGGCACCCTCAAACGAAGACAGGCACTTCCCTGTAGTTTCCCGGTAAAACCGCAAAAAAAGAAGGGCACCCTCAAACGAAGACAGACACTTCCTTGTAGTTTCCCGGTAAAACCGGAAAAAAGCGGCACCCTCAGACGAAAACAGACACTTCCTTGTAGTTTCCCGGTAAAACCGGAGAAAAGCGGCACCCTCAACCGAAGACAGACACTTCCTTGTAGTTTCCCAGTAAAACCGGAGAAAAGCGGCACCCTGAAGCGAAGACAGACACTTCCTTGTAGTTTCCCGGTAAAACCGCAAAAAAAGAAGGGCACCCTCAAACGAAGACAGACACTTCCTTGTAGTTTCCCGGTAAAACCGGAAAAAGGGGCACCCTGAAGCGAAGACAGACACTTCCTTGTAGTTTCCCGGTAAAACCGGAAAAAAAAGGGGCACCCTCAAACGAAGACAGGCACTTCCTTATAGTTTTCCGAAAAAAAAGGGCCACCCAGAAGCGAAGACAGGCACTTTCTTGTAGTTTCCCGGTAAAAACCGGAAAAAAAGGGGCACCCTGAAGCGAAGACAGACACTTCCTTGTAGTTTCCCGGTAAAACCGGAAAAAAAGGGGCACCCTGAAGCGAAGACAGACACTTCCTTGTAGTTTCCCGGTAAAACCGCAAAAAAAGGGGGCACCCTCAAACGAAGACAGACACTTCCTTGTAGGTTTCCCGGTAAAACCGGAGAAAAGCGACACCCTGAAGCGAAGACAGACACCTCCTTGTAGTTTCCCGGAAAAACCGGAGAAAAAAGGGGCACCCTAACAAACGAACACAGACACTTCCTTGTAGTTTCCCGGTAAAACTGGAAAAAGGGGAACCCTGAAGCGAAGACAGACACGTCCTTGTAGTTTCCCGGTAAAACCGGAAAAAAGCGGCACCCTCAAACGAAGACAGACACTTCCTTGTACTTTCCCGATAAAACAGCAAAAAAAGCATGGGCACCCTCAAACGAAGGTAGACACTTCCTTGTAGTTTCCCGGTAAAACCGCAAAGAAAGAAGGGCACCCTGAAGCGAAGACAGACACTTCCTTGTAGTTTCCCGGCAAGCGAAGACAGACACTTCCTTGTAGTTTCCCGGTAAAACTGGAAAAAAGGGGCACCCTGAAGCGAAGACAGACACTTCCTTGTAGTTTCCCGGTAAAACCGGAGAAAAGCGGCACCCTCAACCGAAGACAGACACGTCCTTGTAGGTTCCCAGTAAAACCGGAGAAAAGCGGCACCCTGAAGCGAAAACAGACACTTCCTTGTAGTTTCCCGGTAAAACCGCAAAAAAAGAAGGGCACCCTCAAACGAAGACAGACACTTCCTTGTAGTTTCCCGGTAAAACCGGTAAAACCGGAGAAAAGCGGCACCCTCAAACGAAGACAGACACTTCCTTGTAGTTTCCCGATAAAACCGGAGAAAAGCGGCACCCTCAAACGAAGACAGACACTTCCTGGTAGGTTCTTGGTAAAACCGCAGAAAAGCGGCACCCTCAAACGAAGACAGACACTTCCTTGTAGTTTCCCGATAAAACCGGAGAAAAGCGGCACCCTCAAACGAAGACAGACACTTCCTTGTAGTTTCCCGGTAAAACCGGAGAAAAGCGGCACCCTCAAACGAAGACAGACACTTCCTTGTAGTTTCCCGGTAAAACCGGAGAAAAGCGGCACTCTCAAACGAAGACAGACACTTCCTTGTAGTTTCCCGGTAAAACCGAAAAAAAGCGGCACCCTCAAACGAAGACAGACACTTCCTTGTAGTTTCCTGGTAAAACCGGAGAAAAGCGGCACCCTCAAACGAAGACAGACACTTCCTTGTAGTTTCACGGTAAAACCGGAAAAAAGGGGCACCCTGAAGCGAAGACAGACACTTCCTTGTAGTTTCCCGATAAAACCGGAGAAAAGCGGCACCCTCAAACGAAGACAGATACTTTTTTGTAGTTTCTCGGTAAAACCGGAGAAAAGCGGCACCCTCAAACGAAGACAGACACTTCCTTGTAGTTTCCCGATAAAGCCGGAGAAAAGCGGCACCCTCAAACGAAGACAGACACTTCCTTGTAGTTTCCCGATAAAACCGGAGAAAAGCGGCACCCTCAAACGAAGACAGACACTTCCTTGTAGTTTCCCGGTAAAACCGGAGAAAAGCGGCACCCTCAAACGAAGACAGACACTTCTTGTAGTTTCCCCGATAAAACCGGAAAAGCGGCACCCTCAAACGAAGACAGACACTTCCTTGTAGTTTCCCGGTAAGTCCCGGAGAAAAGGCACTCCCAAACGAAGACAGACACTTCCTGTAGTTTCCCCGGTAAAACCGGGAGAAAAGCGGCACCCTCAAACGAAGACAGACACTTCCGTGTAGTTTCCCGGTAAAACCGGAGAAAAGCGGCACCCTCAAACGAAGACAGACACTTCCTTGTAGTTTCCCGATAAAACCGGAGAAAAGCGCCACCCTCAAACGAAGACAGACACTTCCTTGTAGTTTCCCGGTAAAACCGGAGAAAAGCGGCACCCTCAAACGAAGACAGACTTCCTTGTAGTTTCCCGGTAAAACCGCAAAAAAAGGGGCACCCTCAATCGAAGACAGACACTTCCTTGTAGTTTCCCGATAAAACCGGAGAAAAGCGGCACCCTCAAACGAAGACAGACACTTCCTTGTAGTTTCCCGGTAAAACCGGAGAAAAGCGGCACCCTCAAACGAAGACAGACACTTCCTTGTAGTTTCCCGATAAAACCGGAGAAAAGCGCCACCCTCAAACGAAGACAGACACTTCCTTGTAGTTTCCCGGTAAAACCGGAGAAAAGCGGCACCCTCAAACGAAGACAGACTTCCTTGTAGTTTCCCGGTAAAACCGCAAAAAAAGGGGCACCCTCAATCGAAGACAGACACTTCCTTGTAGTTTCCCGATAAAACCGGAGAAAAGCGGCACCCTCAAACGAAGACAAACGAAGACAGTCATCTTCCTGTCGTTTTCCGGATTAAAGACGGAGAAATGCGGCACCTCAAACGAAGACAGACACTTCTTGTAGTTTCCGATAAACCGGAGGAAAAGCGGCACCCTCAAACGAGGACAGGACACTTCCATTGTAGGGTTTCCGGTAAAACGTGTGAAAAGCAGGCACCCTCAAACGAAGACTGGGGAACTGCCTTGTAGTTTCCCGGTAAAACCGGAGAAAAGCGGTACCCTCAACGAAGACAGACATGCTTCCCGATAAAACGGAGAAAAGCCACCCTCAAACGAAGACAGACACTTCCTTGTAGTTTCCCGGTAAAACCGGAGAAAAGCGGCACCCTCAAACGAAGACAGACACTTCCTTGTAGTTTCCCGGTAAAACCGGAGAAAAGCGGCACCCTCAAACGAAGACAGACACTTCCTTGTAGTTTCCCGGTAAAACCGCAAAAAAAGAAGGGCACCCTCAAACGAAGACAGACACTTCCTTGTAGTTTCCCGGTAAAACCGGAAAAAGGGGCACCCTGAAGCGAAGACAGACACTTCCTTGTAGTTTCCCGGTAAAACCGCAAAACAAAACAAAAAAGGGCACCCTGAAACGAAGACAGACCATACCCACAATTTGGTGGCAGGCCAATCCATGCGCCTCGGGCTCCCAGAGGCCCAAAAAACGCACCAAGGCGCCCCCTGGGCTTCCGCCAGCAGCACCGTGGACAAGCACACCGACGAGCCTCGAAGCGGATCGGATCTGTACCGATCCGACGCGCTGTGCGCGCACGCGGTGCATGGAGCCGACATGTTACTCCCAGGCCCCAAGACCCAAGACTCAAAACGGAGGTGCGCCGCCAACAAACAAGAAAACTCCTATGCTTCTTTGCCGAAAGGCGCCGCATCTTCGGCCAGGCGCCAGGATCCCAGCCCAAGTGAGGGAGGCGCTCATGGATTCCAACAGTATGCCGCAAAAGCCAACTCCACAACCCGGAAAAAACGTTCTAGGTGGCGTTCCGCAAGCAAACCCTTTTGGCCAGTCGAATCTATGTCCAGAAATATGCGGTATTTTTCCAGGGTAACAACTTCCATTCACTTGAGGAGCGGGTGAACGAAAGCTAGCAGTTGTTTGTTGCATGAGATGGGTCGGTGACAGAGTGGATTCATAGGTAGCTTGTGTACAACGAGAGGCCCGGCAAGACTTGTAGGATGCGACACGCAAACGCACATGGTGGCGTGGCAAACCTTGAAAAATGAAAACAACGAGAGGCGTCAGAAGCTGTCTTAAAGCACCTCTGGGTTCTGCATGCTGCGTGTGCAAAGATTCTTGCGAGGTGGTTTACTGAGAAGACTGAGATCTCAAATGAACAAGCTGAATCGGTGGAACATGTAAAAGTTCGTAGCACCAAGTCCAAAACGGGCAAACCGAGACTGCTGAAACACTGAGCCGGGGGGAGGGGTGGACCAAGGAGGAATCGAGCCTGAGACGGGGGGGGGGGAGGGGGGGGGGGTCTAAATAATTGATTTTTTTCAATCTTTTCGGCTCAAATAATTGAAAAAATCAATCTTTCGGCAGTTGAGCCCCTTACCTTGCTTACGCAAGGAGAAACTTCAGCTAGCTAAAGCTAGCTTTCGTGACAAGCATCAGAACGGCACAATCGGCCCGGGACGTGCTTTTGAAAAGGGACCCTCCGTTGCATCCCTGACACCTGCAGAAGGTGGTCCCTATCAAAACTCATAGCCACATGGGTGTGGCTAAAATGGGCGGACCTCAAGAATGGCAGTTTCCCTCCCCCTCAGTTTCCAAATGAAAAACCACCAAACAAGCGCTACCCACACAGAACACACACGCAAACATGGGTCTGCTTCAACTGAAATACCGCAGAATGTGTCGTTTTCCTTTGGTTTCCTTTCAAATGAACAAACACACCCATTTGGGGGTTTCAGTTTTCCTTCAAATGCCTGCCAACCAAATTGAGATCCACTTTAGGAGCCCCCCTGAGCTTCCTTCCGAGAAGATGCCCCTGCCAAGCAGCGGAAAGAACAGAAGGCAGCACCGCTGGCCGGACCCTTGGAGGTGGCCTGAACAGCAAGGAAGGGCAGCATGCTGTTGTTTGTTGTTGTAACAGGGATCCTTACATTATACACCTGAACATTGCCATGTAAATGGTGATTTCCCTTTATTTTGGTGTAAAAAATCGAATGGTATCTTCTAAGGAGCCCTGCATAAGTTGTTTACTTGTTTACTTGTTTGCTTGTTTGTTTGTTTGTCCCTTATTTGCTTGCTTGCTTGCTTGCTTGCTTGCTTGCTTGCTTGCTTGCTTGCTTGCTTGCTTGCTTGCTTGCTGCTTGCTTGCTTGCTTGCTTGCTTGCTTGCTTGCTTGCTTGCTTGCTTGCTTGCTTGCTTGCTTGCTTGCTTGCTGCTCGCTGCTCGCTGCTCGCTGCTCGCTGTTTCGCTGTCGCTGCTCGCCGCCGTTCGCCGCTTGCTCGCTGTCGCTGCTCGCTGCTCGCCTTCCAGCCCTCCACCCCTGGCAGATTGAATGACACCCGGGCGGAATAGCTGCACCCGCCTCTCGCTCTCGCTCTCGCTCTCGCTCTCGCTCTCGCTCTCGCTCTCGCTCTCGCTCTCGCTCGCTTGCTTGCTTGCGCGTTCGCTCACTTGCTTGCTTGCGTCCGTGCGTGCTTGCGCGCTTGCGTGCGTGCGAGCGTGCTTGCGCGCTTGCGTGTTTGCGCGCGTGCGTGCTTGCGCGCTTGCGTGCGTTCTTGCGCGCGGCAAGCGCGCGTGCTTGCGTGCTTGCTTGCTCGCTCGCGCGCTCGCTCGCTCGTTGGCTCGCTCGCTCGCTTGCTCGCCTGCTCGCCTGCTCGCCCGTTCGCTTGCTCGCTTGCTGTTGCTGCTGATGTTGCTTTTGCTGTTGCTGCTGTTGGTTCTTGGTTGCTGGCTGTTGGTTGTTGGCTGTTTGTTGTTCGGTGTTTGTTGTCAGTTGATTGCTACCTGCTACTGTATTTGTTGGTGGCTCCGTTTACTTCGACACGCGGGCTTTCAGCGCAAATTTCCAAGTGGCACGGCTGCAAGAAGCTCATTTCAAATGGAACCCACGTTGCGTCCCTCACCGCGCTTTCCCGAACGGCACGCTCGCGACAGGCTCCGTGCGCCGACAGCATCCCTGCCCCCAGACACACCCGCCCAAGCGCGCCCGCACAGCACTGTAGCCATGCCTGCCCGGCAAGCGCAGCCTCTCAAGTACTACACCCACGCCTGCCCAATAGCAAGCGCGCCCACTCAAACGCGTGCATCAACCACACCACCCAGCGCTGTGGCCAAATGGTAACACACCCGCTCCAGGGCTACTCATGCCTATAAAACGGTGAGCACACCCGCTCAAGGCCCGCTCGCGACTGTTTTCACGCCTGCCAAATGGTAAGCACATTTCCACAGAACTGTATCCATGCCTGCCACCTGGCAAGCACCGCCGCTCAAGCACGGTAGCACGCCCATGCCTGCCAAATGGTTTGCGTGTATCAAGCACCTGCTCAGCACTGCAGCCAAATGGTAAGCACACCCGCTCAAGGGCACCCACTCAGCACGGTATCAATGCCTAAAATTGACATCCGATCAAGGCAACTTGTAAGCCCGCTCACGCACTCTATCCATGCCTGCCAAATGGTAAGCACACCCGCTCAAGCGCACCCACATCGGCAGGTGTCCGCAGAAACCCCCTAAAGCAAGGCCTGGTGGCCTGCTTTGTCGCGTGTGACCAGCTGGAGGGGGCTTTGTTGTTTGTTGTGTGTTGTGTGCTGCGTGCTGGTGTCTTCGTTTGATGCTGTGACTTCTTGGCGCACTTGCCTGCAAAGAGGGAGAAGAAATGGCGATCTTTCCCTTTGTACTCTCAGACATCGTTGGGCTCGCATCAAACTCTGCGAATGTGGGTGCGGAATCCAAGGGGCAAAAGCTGGGTGCACTGTGTCTTCCAATTTCATACGACGGGGTGCGTCTTGCAATGGGGGCCCTAACTGGTCCTTGCGGTTTCCGTGTAAAACAACCCTACCAAAAACGACCTTCCAAAATTGAGAGAGAGAGAGAAAGAGAGACGGGGGGCACAGAATGAATGAATGAATGAATGAATGAATGAATGAATGAATGAATGAATGAATGAATGAATGAATGAATGAATGAATGAATGAATGAATGAATGAATGAATGAATGAATGAATGAATGAATGAATGAATGAATTGAATGAATGAATGAATGAAATGAAATGAAATGAAATGAAATGAAATGAAATGAAATGAAATGAAATGAAATGAAATGAAATGAAATGAAATGAAATGAAATGAAATGAAATGGAATGAATGAATGAATGAATGAATGAATGAATGAATGAATGAATGAATGAATGAATGAATGAATGAATGAATGAATGAATGAATGAATGAATGAATGAATGAATGAATGAATGAATGAATGAATGAATGAATGGAATGAATGAATGAATGAATGGAATGAATGAATGAATGAATGAATGAATGAATGAATGAATGAATGAATGAATTAATTAATGAATGAATGAATGAATGAATGAATGAATGAATGAATGAATTCATGAATGAATGAATGAATGAATGAATGAATGAATGAATGAATGAA